AGTTTAGGAATAGGTTTTGAGAATAAGATTTCAAATTTTTTAAAAAATAAAAAAAAAACATAAAATTTTCAAATAAAAATTGTTATTTTGATATTTTAGTTTTGAAAGTATATTTTTGTGATAAAAATTCAAAAATATATATTTGACAGATTTGACCTTGTTTTAATGTTTTAGCCATAGTGGACATGTTTTTAATAAATATATATTTACCTCTTGAAGTAGAGCTGCCGCCAGAGAAATATTGATCAACAGTCAAAGTATTAGCTGCCTTGAAAGCTTTACCTCCACCGCCACTTTCCTCCACCTCTCTCCTCCTCTTCTGCCCGGAGGAGGAGGAGGAGTTCGAAGTACCTTCTCCACCGCCACCGCCTCCGCCAACGAATTGATGAGGAGGAACATTTCCAGCGACAACATGTGTCAAAGCAGAGACGATTGCAGACATCTCCCTCTCTCTGTCAAAGCTCGACATAAGAGACGATGATGATGATGGAAGCGTAAGGGAGTTATCACGGTGGTGGAGGTGGTTGTCTCCTGCCGCGAATAAGTAAAACCATTGATCATCTTCTCGAGTGGTAAACTCGGCTTTTTTACCAACGTTATCTTCCGGATTTGCCACTTTTAAGACACACATAAAAGTCTCTCTTTCCTATAATATCCTCTCTGAAGCTTAAACCTTATAAACCCTGAAATTATTTTTTTTTAAATGTTTTTTCTTAGAGAGAAAGAAAACTCTGTAGAGAGAGGAAAAACAGAGAGGTGAGAGAGGGAAAGAAAGATAAATTTCACAATGTTTTTTAAGACTAGGAATGAGTTTTAGGTGATAGATATACAAATATTTTTGTTGTGTCAACTGTTTTTTTTCTTTTTTAATTCAGCGCCGCCAAATCAAAGAGTCGGTTTCTCTCTGTTTTTGCCGTGTGAATGTAAAGGAAAACATGCAATTTCTATATATAAAATAGAGCAAATAACTATAAATAAATATTATAAAGTTGAGCTATAATAGCAGAAGAAAATTTGGTTTTGATGATTCAGGTCAATATGAACAATTATTAAAAATGGATACTGTATTAGTATATATATTTACTTCCTTTATTTCAAATTAACATTTTCATACTTTCACACATTAGATATAATAAAATTTAATTATATATACAATTAAAAAGTTTGATAACTTTAAATCTTCAATAATTTAGTTGATTTGTCAAAAATATTATTAACTAATAACAATACATAATTTATCTACAAAATATCATTTTAGAATAATTTTAAAACTAATTATGTCTTCAAGAAAAGTTAAAATAATTAATTTTAGAATAGAAAAACTGTAATGGACTCTGAAATCTGCAACTTAGGTGATACTTCCTCTGTTTCAATATAAGTGTCACTCTACAGCTATGCACACGGATTAAGAAAACAATTAGTTTATCATATTTCCTATATAAAAATACAATTACCCATACAGCTAACCATATTTTAACCAATAGAAAAATAAATTACATAATAAAATTAATAAATTTCGCATTGAAAACCGAAAACGACACTTATTTTGTAACACAAAAAATTCTCTACAACGACACTTAATATAAAACGGAGGGAGTATTTAATTCCATCGACATGCAATTGAAGTATTAAGTGGTATTATCAAAACTTAAAGGAGCCTAATAAACTATACTCCCTCTGTTTCAATATAAGTGTCACTCTATAGCTGTGCACACGGATTAAGAAAACAATTAATTTTACATATTTCCTATATAAAAATACAATTACCTATACACCTAACCACATTTTAACCAATAGAAAAATAAATTACATAATAAAATTAATAAATTTTGCATTGAAAACCGAAAACGACACTTATTTTGTAACGAAAAAAAATCACTACAACGACACTTAATAAGAAACGGAGGGAGTAATTAGTTAAGATATCTATTGGTAGGACTTGGCGCTAGGGGGAATATAGTATCATTAACAAAACAAGTTGCAAAGTAAAACCAAAAAGCTACTATACACGTAACACTGTTAATATATGGAAACATACCGACACGAATATTAATTACTATATTTAAGGTTCGGTGATTTATATAATTACTAGTTTAAGAAGAACTAGATCTCGACCCGCACAACCGTGCGGGTATTTTAGTACGAAAATATTTGAAATTATATAATACTCATTCCGTTTTAAATAGATGATGTTTTATAAGATTTATTTTATTTCAAAATATAAGATGTTTTGAGATTTTAAGGTATATTTTGAGGTTTTAAAGTTATCTTTAACTTTATTGGAAATTGTTCAACCGATAAAATTTTACTCTTTTTAATAATTTGTTGAATAGTTATAAAATTATATCTTTAAAAATAATTTTGTAAAAGAATGGAAATTTCTTAATTTTTGTGCTATAATCCAAAACATCATATATTAAGTAATGGAGGGAGTAAAATTTATCAATAAATAAATATAATTTGATTGTATATACTATCCAATTTTATAATAATATTTATGTAGCTAATAATATTATTAATTTAAAATTTATAAATTTGTCTTTTTGTAACAATTTTTAAAAACATTATTATGTAACATTACTAATTTATATATATTTTGTTTTATTTCTAAATTTTAAATATATAAAAAGTAAATTAAATTGGACCTACATAATACATAAACAAAATTTTGGGATATTGTTAAAAGTATATTACATAATTTTTGTTAAAAAAGGAATTAAATAAATTATATTCTGTGATAATTAAATTTTGAAACTATATCTTGAAAAGATTTTATAAGATTTTTAAAAGATTTTGTTAGAATTTTCTTAAAATTATTTATTTGTATTTCAAATAAAAATTAAAGATATGAAAAGATATTATAATGATGTTATATTATATAAAATTTCTAAAGATGATCCAAACTTAAAAATCACACATGAAGTGAGTCATGACTTCTCTTTTAATATAATAGATTGTTAAAAATAAGTAAACCATTAAAATAAGATATTTGCCTAAACGGTTAGCTTGAAGGTCACAAGTTGAGAGAAGCTGTGCTGTGCGGTGTTGGTTCGTGCCGACGTCAAAGGACGGTGTCGGTGGTGAAAGGCCAACGCACACCGGCACACGTGATTATCTTTGACCGGTTGACCCAGGAGATATTCTTCGTTTTCGATTTTACGAGCTTATCCACAATAAATGTTTTATACATTCTCCAATCTCAATAGACTAATCACATATAAAAACATGATTACATGTTTTCTTTTAATTAGTTACTAGATTTTGAGCCGCACTCGAAAGCTTGAGTTTTTTTTTAATTGTAAACAAAATTTGTGAATTAGTATCTTAGAATTGTTTTATAATATCATATAAAAATTTATATTATATTGAAGAGAAATTTGTTTAAAAATTATAAAATTTATTAATTAGTTTATTAAGATTTTATATGTATATTCATATACAATTATGTCTTAGACCTGGACATTTTCAGACCTGAAAACCAAACCGAATCGATCCTGGAATAGATGTGTTTATGTCTCGATCCATGTAATGTACATATTAGATTTTTTTGGACCCGCGGTTCATGTTCGAGTCCCGATCGTCTATAAGGGTCGATCGGTACAAATACTTTTAAGTTTTGGGTTCGTATTTTGAATTATCGTTTCGGATTTTGAGATAAAATTTTAGATCTTTTAAATATTTGAATATTTTTCATATTTATTTTGGTTTCAGGTTTTTGCGTATTTTCATATTTTGGGTTTTTAAATATTTCAATTTTTTTTAGTCTTAAATATCTAAATCAATCCAATTCTATTTTTTTTAACACATCACATCTTATTACATATTCAAAAGTTTAGTAGCAATCTGGTAGACTATCACATATAAGAACATGATTACATGTTTTCTTTTAATTCGGTATCTTATATGGATACATCATACAGTATATATCAAGGAATTTTTTTTAAAAAAGGCTACCTTGATTTTATAAAATTTATTTTGCCTAAAAGCTCAGGAATGAAGAAGACTTTGTTATTGTGCCAAAAATAAGAGAAAGATTTTGTTATTAACTTCAACAATTTAATACATTATTTTAAAACATTACTTCCAAGAATAGAATGGTCCAGTCGTTTAGCAGAAAAAATGGTCCAGTATAAATTTGTTTTATTTTATAGTAGGTGTAACTTGATGATTGTCTCGAAATGACATTGTTTGACTTTTGTTTTCAAACAATCTATAAACAAGTCAGCTCCCAATACCAAGTTAACGTAGTTGGTATTTTTACCTTTTTTACACGTGAGTTAACAAAACCATATACACTATACAGTATCTGGTTAATCAAACAGCCACAAACTTTTTTTTCACGTTAACAAAACTTACTCGATTGCTATGTTGCAGCATTTTTAGTAGCCTGATGTTTAAGGCCCGTTACTTTAGTTATTCAGAATGAAGGTTTAATTTCTAAATATTGTACGACAATATCTAGAAAACTTTTTCACTTGTCAATTCGTCAAGAAAAAAAAAACATTCTCGGCTTGATACCGAATGCTTCCTAAATCCTAATACAAATCTTTTATAATAAAAATGAAAGACTGTATAGCTAAGGCATTCAAAGATGAGATCGATTCAAATACGGAAACTCAACGATTATTAAATGACATATTTTTCCATAAGTGTGCCTAATGCCTAACATAATCTATGGTTAATTTGCATTACCACGGCGATTAAAACATAAAGATTATTCTAAGAATATCTCTCCAACTTGCAATTTTATAAACATTTTAACGTGGCCAAACCGGAGACCTAGTCATGAACAACCAAATTACTTAAGCATATAGACGTATACCCATACGAATGTCTTTTTTGACATCAACTCTATCTTTTTCCATAAAACAAGTAAGTAATATATACAGGGCCGGGTCTGACCCCATACGTGTGATACAATCGTATGGGGCCCATTATTTTTACAAAAAAATTAGGGCCTACTTGTCTTATTGTATGTACTTGTTAATATTTCAAGAGGTTGTGTATTGTCGATAAGTTAAGAAAGTGGCAGAACATCATTAAAATACAAAGATAATTAAATTGTATATATCCTTTTTGTATTAATATAAATGGATTAAAAGGAAAATAACAATGATAATAAAAAAAATAACTAATTTAGATTAATTATTTCTAGGTTAAATTATTCTTTTCTCATAAATATTCTTTCACGGTTTCTCATCAACTATATCATAAGAAAGATGAAATGGTTTGACCATATTGTCGATTGAAAAGGATATAATCAAAAATCTTGATTACGAAAGTTTGATGGATGATTTTACAGAAAAATATGCAAGAAAAACTTTAAAAATTGGTTATTTTTTTACTAGTTTTTAGATATTGTAATTTTTTGTTAAAAATAATTTTTATCAACAGGTTTTTTAGATATTATTTAAGGACCTCATTTTTTATTTCGTATTGGACCCTGAAAATCTCAGGACCGGTACTGAATATATAGTATCAAATTAGGTATAGTTAAAACTAATATTAAAAGTGATCAATTAAATGAATACAATATTCGTTTTTAATAAAAGTAATATCATAAAATTTATGTAGAAATGAACAAAAAAGTTATATATATTCAATTTTCTTTTCTAAAAGATCTTATATACT